AAATGAAATAGTAGGGGGGGCCATTGGTACACAAAAAGAAAACACCCCAAATGTCTGGGGCCCAAAAAGTTTCAACAGCCTCCCACCTACATAAGGGAATTACCAATAGGCCTCTGGGTGCCTTTAAAAGGGGCTGGACAGATACTTAAGTCGGTGCCGGATCAGCGGGGGTTTGGGTCCGTACGTTTGGGGTGCGGCCAGCATAACAGTTTGGTTTATCAACCCCTGTACCACCGGGGAACCCAGTGATTGACCTTGCCGCGGGGGGGTTGATTTTCCCCGGGTAACCCTTTCCGGGGATGCAGGTAGCAGGGTTAGCCTGCAAAACCTGAATAAACAAAAAAAAAGGGCACAATTACCGTGCTGGAACGATAACCCCAAAATTTCACAAATCCCGCCATAGAAGAGAGGAGCTTACGACGATGTTTCGGGCCCACTTGGACCATTTACAAAGTACACACGCATCAAAATAGCGGTACAGAAGCTACCCCACTGCCTTAATTACCCCGTTTAAACACAATAAAGTGATGTACAAGAATATCTAAATGTAGCTTAATAAAAACCCAAACACAAAAAAAAAGTTTCGCTTCCACCCCCTGGGGGCACCAGAATTTCTAAGCCCGGGGGGGGGGGGATGGGGGGGCTTTGGGAGGCTATTTTTATTGGTAGGGGGGGGAGGGGGCCTTTTTTCAGCGGTTTTATTTTTTTTTTTTGGGTGGGGTTTAGCCTCTCCCCTTTCCCCCTTCCCCCCCCCCAACTCTTCCCTGACCGAACTACTAACAAAAGAAACGCGGTGCTCAGAATTTAAACCCAAGTTCCCTCAGTAGGAGTGAGACAGATTACGTTCCCCCTTTGATCAACTGCAATTATTATATTTAAAAATTTTTTTTTAAAAAATTTTTTGTTAATTATTATTATTTTTTATTTTTATTTTTATTTTTTTTATTATTTTTTATTTTATTATTTTTTTAGTGTTTATTATTATTAATATTAAACTTTGTATTTGTTTCTTGCGAACTTTTGTGGTACCCTTTCCCCCAAGGAGAAGTATGGCCATTCTACCAGGGAGACTCCTACTTTTTCTCTTGGAGTACCTTTCTCTCTCTCACCTTTTCCCTTTTTTCTGCCCTTTAGTTTTTCTTTTGGTCAAAAATTTTGTCCACATAGATCAATAATTCTCGTTTACCATCTTTGGCATTTTAAACTCGTCTATCTATTCAATTTTTTGTCAGTTTCCAGTCTATTCCAGGTCAATAAAGCTTGCCTTCAATCGATCCATCATCCATGATCATCTCTTGGGTGATCCCGGTCCATACCAGTGAATACCTTGAGATTGTTTTCCATATCATTTTTGAGAGACAAGGGGAGCAGCTGTTGTGTTTCAAAGAGCCGGGTTCGGTTTCTATGAAAAGCGAAAAGGGAGTGGTGATGGTGCGATCTTACAGCCTAGTTCGTTGGGGGCACCTTATCCCCTTTGGACAGCGTGTTGTGTTTCAAGGGAGGTACCTTGACGCAAAAGTTATGGAAGGGGTGGGGGTTTTAGAGAGTTTAAAATCAGGGAAAAAATAGTTTTTGGACATTCGTCACCAAAGACAAGACCCCGGGGGGACTCCTCGGCAAAAAAAATACGAAATTTATAGGTAAAAACTTTGAGGAAGTGCTGGCCAGGTACAGAGCTCTGTCAGGGACGAAAAATGGTTTTTAAAACCCACAAGTTGATAAATGGGCTGAACACACCGTTCCCCCCTGAGGGACTAATTACCCAAACTCTTCATCTTTCCACCTTTTTTTGTATTGGCTGAAAAAAAACCACTGGCTGGTGAAAAGTTTTCAGAATAACATACCCAAAAGTTGAAAATGGTATGGTATATGACAAATGTGGGAAAAAGACATTTATTTACGTTTAGGACATTTATTATAGGAAAAGTTTTTTCCACGAGTGACTTCTTCAGTGCTGAAAAAGGATAAAATTATTATTTTTAAAAGGGGTAAAAAATAAGAAAACGAGTATATATAGTGGCAGATGGGGTTTTTAACAGTAGAAAAATGTACTACTACAACCCACACGACCTTCCAACTGAGTTTCGCCACTCATGGCAAAATGTTTCCTTTTTAAAAATAATTGTAATAATGCTTTTTCCCCATAACCAAATGTTGATAAGTGTTTCGTTTATCAATGGTCAGAGAGAGCGACTGTGTCACTATTAGGACCTTGAATAGAACTGATGGTCCTCTAGAATCTCAAGCTGTCTGGGGATTGGTGGATTACTGGCACCCCGGGTTGTTGTATGTTTTAGATTCCAGGTTAAAGTGTGAAAAAGGATGTTCTACTTCCGGGGGGAAAACAGGAGGGCTAAGCTTTGCTAGATGGTTTTTGGGAGTGATGTAAAAGGGTTTGGGGGTGGTAAAAAGGAAAAGGTTACAGCATAGTGTGAGATGGTTTGAGCGGTAAGGGGGAAAAGGTTCCAAAAGTGGTTGGGGGAGTGGCAGCCCCTTTTAAGTGGCAAGTGGTTTACAATTCAGGGAAAAAGATCACGAAAAAAAAACACTACCTGTTTATAAATTCAAGTCTCTACTCAAAGATCATTACTCACCCAAACCAAATAAATACTAAATAACTGAACCTTATAAATTGTATATCTTAAATGTTTCTCAAAATTTATATCACATAAATTTTAAAACCTAAAACCCAATCTAACTTTATTATTTTTTAAATACACTACCTAACAGAATCCTTCATATGACCTGTCTTTGTAATACTCACTTGTGCTTTATAGTAATCTGTTTACATTAATGTTTTATCACTGACTTCATCATTGCTTAATTAATCTTAAGTTAATTTTAAGCCAGCCCGTAATGCTATGCATAGTATAAGTGGCTTTGGCATACTGCTCTTATCTGTATTTTTTGTACCTCTGTATGTGTGCACAAATTTATAATAAATAAATAAATAAATAAATAAATAAATAAATAAATAAATATGGGTTCAGAGGAGGTCACTACTGCCGCTCGCAAGTACTGGATCACTGTGATATGGTCTTGGATAAACTGGAAGAAAAGCAATTCAGATGTAATATACACAGACTTTGCAAAAGCCTTTGACAAGTGTGAATGGCGTAATAGCGCACAAAATATGTGCTGCCGGAATAATTGGCAAAGTGGGGAGATGGATTTTCAACTTTCTGACCAATCGAACACACAGAGTAATGGTAAACAGAGTTAAATCGGAAGTTGCCAGTGAAAAGCTCTGTTCTACAAGACAACGTATTCGCCCCCATCCTGTTCCTCATCCTCATATCAGACATAGAGATGTAATCCACAGCACCGTGTTATCCTTTGCAGACGATACTAGGATCTGCTTGAGGACATGATTAACCTCCAAGAAGACATAAACAAAGTTTTCCAATGGGCAATGGAAAAGAATATGATGTTCAGTGAAGACAAATTCCAACTACTCCGTAATGGAAAACTGGAGGAGATAATTAGAACTGAGTATACTACAAACTCTGATCATACAATAGAGCGAGAAAATAATGTGAGAGACCTGGGAGTGGTATTATCTCAGGATCTCACTTTCAAGGTTCACAACAGTGCTATGATCACAACTGCAAAGAAAATGATAGAATGGATAATGAGAACGTTCAAAACAAGAGATGCCAAGCCAGTGATGATCCTTTTCAAGTCATTTGTTCTCTCTAGGCTGGAATACTGCTGTACATTAACATCTCCATTCAAAGCAGGTGAAATTGCAGATCTAGAGAGTGTACAGAGAACCTCTACTGCACATATCAATCCCATCAAACACCTCAAGAACTGGGAACACTTGGAAGCACTTGACTTGTACTCCGCTGGAACGCAGGTGAAATCCTAGAAGGAATGGTCCCGAATCTGCACATAGAAATCACTCCCTAAGAAAGTAAAAGACTGGGCAGGCGGTGCAGAATACTCTAAATGAATAGTAGGGGCGCCATTGGTACACTAAGAGAAAACACCGTAAGTGTCTGGGGCCCAAGACTGTTCAACAGCCTCCCACCATACATAAGGGGAATTACCAATAGGCCCCTGGCTGCCTTCAAAAGGGAGCTGTACAGATACTTAAGTCGGTGCCGGATCAGCGGGGTTGTGGTCCGTACGTTGGACTAGGTGCGGCCAGCAGTAAACAGTCTGGTTGATCAACCCCTGTACCACGGGAGACCTAGTGATTGACCTTGCCGCGGGGGCGTTGATCCCCGGAATACCCTCCAGGTAGACTGCAGGTAGCAGGATTAGAACCTGCACATTCTGAATAACAAAAAAGGCACAATACCGTGACTGGAACGATACACAAATTACACAAATAACCCGCACATAGAAGAGAGGAGCTTACGACGATGTTTCGGTCCGACTTGGACCATTTACAAAGTCACACACTGCATCAATCTATGCGGTACAGAAGCTACCCACACTGCCTTAATTACCCATAGTTTAAACACAATAAACGTGACTGTACAATGAATATCTAAATGTAGGCTTAATAAAAACCCGAACACAAAAATATGTATACGCTTCCACCGCCTGGCGGCACCAGAATTTCTAAGCCGGTGGGGCGGGGGATGGGGGGGCTTTGGGAGGCTATTTTATTGGTAGGGGGCTAGAGGGGGGCCTTGTTTTCAAGCAGCGTTATATTTTTTTTTTTGGGGTGGGTTCAGCCTCTCCTCTTTCCCCCTTCCCCCACACCAACTCTTCCCTGACCGAACTACATAACAAAAGAAACGCTGGCTGCGTCAGAATCAGACACAAGTTCCCTCAGTAGGAGCTGAGACAGATTACGTTCCCTTAGCATCAACTGCAATTATTATATTAAATATTATTATTAATTATTATTGTTAATTGTTATTATTATTATTATTATTATTATTATATTATTATTATTATTATTATTATTATTATTATTATTATTATTATTATTATTATGTGTTTATTATTATTAATATTATAACTCTTGTATTTGTTTCTTGCAGAACTTCACTGTGGTACCTTACCCCAAGGAGAAGTATGGCCAGTTCTACCAGGGAGACTCCTACATTGTTCTCTATGTGAGTACCTTTCTCTCTCTCACTCTCTCTCTTTAATCTGCCTTCAGTTTTACTTTTGGTCAATAATTTTAGTCCATCATCATGATCAATAATCCTCGTTTACCATCTTGGTCATATTATACTCGTCTATCTATTCTATCATTTTCGTCAGTTATCCTAGTCTATCATCCAGGTCAATAATGCTTGCCTATCAACTCGATCCATCATCCATGATCATCATCTTGGGTGATCCTGGTCCATCATCCAGTGTAATACCTTGAGATTGTCTTTCCAATATCATGTTTTGTGAGAGACAAGGATAGCAGCTGTGTGTGATACAATGAGACCGGGTCTCAGGTTTCTATGGAACTGCGAAGATAGGAGTGGTGAGGGTGCTGATCTTCACAGCCTAGTTCTGTTGGGGCACTCTATCCTCCTTTGAGACAGCGTGTTGTGTGTTCACACGGGAGGTGACCTTGACGCAAAAGTTATGGAAGGGGTAGGGGGTGTAGACGAGTTTATAAACTCAGGGAAAAGTAGTTATGAGACATTGCGTCACCACAAGGACAAGACCCAGGCAGGGACTCCATCGGCAAATCACATACGAAATGATAGGTAAGAGAGCTTTGAGGAGAGTGCTGGCCAGGTACAGAGCTCTGTCAGGGACCTGAATGAGTGGTTTATAAAGCCGACAAGTTGATAAATGGACTGAACACACCGATTCCAGGCTGAGGGACTAATTACCTCAAACTCTTCATCTTCCACCTTTCTTTGTATTGGACTGAAAAAGCCACTGGCTGGTGAAATGTTTTCAGAATAACATACCCAAATGTTGAGAAATGGTATGGTGATACTGACAAGATGTGGAAAAAGACATTCATTTACAGTTCAGGACATTTATTATAGGAAACGTTTTACCACGAGTGACTTCTTCAGTGCTGAAACAGAGATAACTAATTATTATTATTAAGGATAACTAAGAAACGAGTATATATAGTGGCAGATGGTAGTTGTAACAGTAGTACAACTGTACTACTACTACTACCCACACGACCTTCCAACTGACGTTTCGCCACTCATGGCAAAATGTTTCCTTTAATAATAATATGTACATAAGTGTCTTTTTCCACATAACCAAATGTTGCATAAGTGTCTCGTTTATCAATGTGTCAGAGAGAGCTGACTGTGTCAGCTATTAGGACCTGTGAATAGAAGCTGACTGGTCCTCTAGAAGTCATCAAGCTGTCTGGAGATTAGCGTGGGATGTTACTGAGCACCACGGCTTGTTGTAGTGTTTTAGATTCTCAGGTTAAAGTGTTGAAGAAGGATGTTCTACTTCCGGAGGAAAACAGGAGGCTGAAGCTTTGCCTAGATGGGTTTGGGAGTGAGTGTAAGATGGTTGGAGCTGGTAAAGAGGAAAAGGTTACCAGCAGTGAGTGTGAGATGGTTAGAGCTGGTAAGGAGGAAAAGGTTACCAACAGTGAGTTGGAGAGTGGCAGCCACTTTAAGTGGCAAGTGGTTCACAATTCAGGAAGAAGCATCACGATAAGGAAGGTTAATAATGAAGATTTGAAGGTAGGAAACCAATTCTTTGTTCGCCAGGATGAGTGTACTTCAGTGGTTAATGAGGTTAAAGGTACCATTGACTCCCCTGTTAATCAAGGTAAGAATATTCTGATTGTGGGAGACTGTCAGGTAAGTTATATGGACCATGCTTTTTGTAACAGGAGTAAGAAGGTGAGACAAAGAGTGTGTTTTCCTGGAGCTGGTGTTGGTGACTTAGTCAACAGGTTGGATAATATGTCAGGTAATGGGAACAAACCTATTATCTGTCTCAGTGCTGGTGGAAATGACCTCAGGAAGGGCAGGAGACAGGAGCTGCTGGATAAGTACAGGTCAGCCATGGATGTAGTCAGGTCTAAGAGAGGGGTCCCAATCATATGTAGCATTTTGCCTAGAAGGGGATTGGGCAGTGAATGGCTGTCTAGGGCAATTGGTATAAATTACTGGCTAGACAGGTACTTTTAGGGAAATGCCACAAGCTAAGTCAAAGAGTAAATAATGGACTATAATGAGACTTATCTTGAAAGACAGCTGTCGCCTACACAGCCATCCTTGTAGGTGATGTCTTGAGAAGCTGTTGTATGTACTCCGTAAGGGCTTTGTGAAAAAAATGTTATATAAGTATAATTACCCCTAGGGGGTGTTGTGTCAGTATTTCAATAACTGAATACTGATGATACATACTGATGTGGGCTTGATGGCCCTCGGATCACCAGGTATTAGTACGTCAAATAAAACATGAATGCATATCCACTGCGCAGCCGACCTACCCCTATCATGTATATCAGACACACCTGGGTATTTGTAGCTGACCCATAGTTGCACCCAGTTATCGTTGTCTTGATTGAAGCAGACGTGTTCTTTGAAGAATGTCGCACTACACTTCGTCAGGATTGCAGTATTCGTTGTTACTGTTCATCAAGTATTGTTCACAATCTTATCACTAAAGAAACTTCTCTGTTTTGATGTGCTCTTTGAGATTCTTTTATGCACACAAACACATGGATCAGTGTTCTTGTTCATTATCCTGGCATCAATGTGTCCCTTGGCAGGGTTAAAAGCAGTCTAAGCTAAGACGCCTCTCGCCGCACTTCGCTTGCTCCAGCACATAAAGGAAAAGCTGGCATAGCATTTTTCCCTTCCTTGCAAAACTTCCATCATGAAGAAATGCAAAATGCTTGATTCTTGCTGTCTGGGCATAGACAACAATGTACACTGTCTTTAACATGGTAATAAAGTGTGTGCAGAATTTTCCTTAATTGTCCTACTAAGGTAAGAGATTGATTGCAGCACTGGTCTCTTGCAAGGAGTCGCATGACCCATTACTGGTACACTGGTTAAACATCTGCTTGTAATTACTTGGGAAGTAAACAAGACGATTGCCCCTTCTGAGAGGGCTGGGCCCCTCAGAGCTGAAAAGGGCTGAAAGGGCTGATATTCCCCTCCTGGAGAAAATTTCTCCACAGCTACTGCAACAAACTTGCAATCCCATTAATTGATAACTGGGACAAATTCTATGGCAAAGTGATATGTATGCAAGGGATGGGGTACATCTCTCTGGGGCTGGAGTGGTTGTATTAGCTAAGTCGATTGAGGGAGCCATTGCTGACATGTCTAGGACTTTAAACTGATAGATTATAGAGGTATAGGTGTGTGTGGGAAACAATCATGCTGTAGTGCAAGTATTACCAGGATACCTCAGGGATATGTTTAAAAGACAATAGTCATATAAAGATGTTAGTAAAAGCAAAGAAACTGATCAACAAAAAGAGACAGCAGAGGGCAGTGAGTGACTAGCTCCATTAAGGTTTACTATACTAACAATAGGAGTCTAAGAAATAAGATACATGAACTAAGAGTACTTGCAGGTGCAGGTAATATAGATATAATTGCTATAACAGAGACCTGGTTCAACTTGAAAGATAGAGAAATGCCTTCTGAATGCAACATACAGGGTTATAAACTATTCCACACTGATAGGGTCAACAGGAAGGGTGGTGGAGTGGCGCTGTATGTCGGAGATAATTTAAATTGTTGTGTTCGACAAGATATAAGTTTAGAAGCATCAGACAGAATTTGTTTGGCTACAATTTCTCGAGGGTCATGAAAATTAATTTTGGGTGTGATTTAAAGGCCCCCAAACCTTGAAAGGGAGTGCAGTAAGCTGCTATGAGACAAAATTCATAAGGCATCTAGATATGAAAATGTTGTGTTAATGGGAGATTTTAACTTTAGACAAATTGATTGGAACACTATGACAGGAAATCTTGAGTCTAAGGACTTTCTTGATATGGTTCAGGATTGCTTTTTAAAACAGTTTGTGACAGAACCAACTAGACCTGGTTCTTGCCAACAAAGAATCACAAATTAATAATCTTGAGGTTAATGATGAGCTTAGGGAAAGAGATCACAAATCACTTAGTTTCAATATATCATGGAATTACCCAAACAACTGCAATACCTGACTTTTGCTTGGCCGATTTCATGGGACTGAGAAATTACCTGGATGGGCTGAATTGGAATGACCTGTGTATGGGTCAGGTAGGTGGTAATGGTTGCCAATATGACTTTTTCAGAGCATAGTTTTAACTGCCCAGACAACTTATGTTCCGAGTAGGGAAATTAGATCTAACAAAAATGATCCCAAATGGATGAACACTTGATTAAAACATCTCACTGGTCAAAAGAGAGGCATATATTAGTGTATCAAAAGAGGGGATGGACAATTAAGAAATCAATATATTCAATTAGAGAGGGAAATAAAAAAGAGGAATAAGAAAAGCAAAAAGGGATTATGAGGCTAAAGTTGCAAGGGATTCGAAGACTAATCCAAAAAGGTTCTTTCAGGTATACAGAAGTAAGATTAGGGACAAGATAGCCCCACTTAAGAGTAACTCAGGTCAGATCATTGACTGATAAGGAAATGTGTGAATTTTTCAACACTTCCTGTCAGGAAGATACTAGCAAAATTCCAGAAATAATAAATTGTATAGAATAGGACGATAATAAACTATGCACGATTGGGGTAATTAGTGACATGGTCCTCAGACAAATAGAGAAATTAAAGCCTAGCAAATCCCCAGGCCCTGATGAATTGGTTGGAAAGGTTTTAAAGGAATGTAAAGAGGAACTTAGCAAACCTTTGGCTAATCTTTTCAACACATTACTACAAATTGGCATAGTGCCAAACGAGTGGAAAATGGCAAATGTAATACCTATTTACAAGGCAGGTGACAGGTCCTTAGCTTCAAACTATAGACCATTAAGCCTTATCTCCACAGTGGGAAAATTTATGGAATCAATAATTGCCGAGGCAATGCGTAGCCATCTTGAAAGGCATAAATTGATTAATGAATCTCAGCACGGTTTTACAAAGGGGAGTTCCTGCCTCATGAATTTACTTTTTTTACTAAGGTATTTGAGGAGTTAGATCATGGTAATGAATATGATATTGTGTA